TGTTTGATAAACTGTGAGAATCAGAATCTTTGGTAGTTTCCACTTTTCATTGTTAACTCTCAGTGGTGGTGGATGTTCATGCTTTGTACATTGAACATGTCTTTCATTGACATATTATTTATTCTTCCAAGTGTATTCTGATAATTAACACCGGAATCATTCCTATGAGTTATGTACATACGGCCGCTATTCGGAAGGTAACTTCCGTTTATTTGAGGCAACTAATGTAGGAGCGGGGGAGAGCTTGCACATGTGAGATAGTGTCATGGCTCATTGCCTTGTAAACCATCACATAACTAGTCGCCTAGTGTTTGTTATTTCCTCTACAGTGTGAGTTATGATGTTTCCTGCAATTGGTAATCCTGCCAGCTGCAAAATTTGTGCTGTTATCCACTTTCTTCACACTAAAAAATGAGTGCTTCAGAAAACCATCCTGAATTATGTATGGTTTACGGCCAAAATATTGTAACATGTTTAGTTGTCACGCTATTGTTGTTTCCTATGCAACGGTCTATTCTAGTGTTTCCATAGAAGCGTCTCCTCTGGATTCCAGACACGTTAAAATATAATTAATGAAGGAAATGTGAGACAGTGGTGTAGAATGTTCAAAGATGGGCAAACAAATGACAAATGTTTACAATGAAGAGTGAAGTGTTGGTCATCTATAGTGAGTGAGTGATCTTGTCTAAAATGTTGACCAAAGAATTTGTGAAAGATGGTGTTTCACAGTTTCAGAACTTTTGTGTAGATTTCCACAAATTTCACGCATTATTCCATGTGAGACCATCAGAGTTGGGCTAGGCTGCACAACATGGGTTCTGAAAATGCTCACGGGATCGCACAAAATGTAGAGAATGGCTTTGGGTGCGAATATTTTAGAGCAATACCACAAAGATGGTAGTGAATTTGTCAGTCATGTCATACAAGTAATGATGAAACGTGGTATTTATTTGTGAATGTTGAAATCAAAGAGCAGTGGATGCACATACATTCACCAGACAAGCTGAAAAAATCTAAATAAACCGGCCACCACAGTAATGTCAGAAGTGTGTTGCTAAGAAATAAAAACCTGCATAGGGCCATTCAGAACAAAAGGCATGGGATGCTGACATCTGTGTAATGCTCTTTTGTGACAGTGTTTATTGACATCATCTGCTTGCACTTGGGCACGGCTGGATCGTTTCAGCTGAAAGTTGTTTGACCATCCTCCTTACAGCCCCGATCTCGCCACAAGTGACTACCATCTATTTACCTACCTGAGGAACTGGTTGGGATCAGCACTCAACAGTAATAAGTAGTTGGTGGAATCAGTCAAAATGTGGCTGAGCTCACAGGTGGCAGACTTCTTTGACACAGGCATATAAGAACTTATTCCCTGATATGATAAATGCCTCAGTTCCAGCAGTGACTATATTGAGAAGTAGCTTAAGTATGTACATATTTTCTTGTATACAGTAAGGTTTTTTTTCTTGTTAACAGCTCACTAGAGGTTAGTCTGTGAATAACCCTCATGTCATAAAAGGCACGCAGCTGAAACTTAAGCTGAATCATCTTTTTTGATTGTCATTGTGTATCCATTTTATTCAACATTCCTCTCTCAAGGGTAACTCTATGTGGACAGCATCATTCTGAATTATAAGTGTGGATTTTAATATAACATGAACTGTTGATCAAATGCTCTGCATTTGTCACATAATGGAGGAGATATGAGTAAAATGGGATGGTGTGTTAGATGTACATAACCTGTGGTTCAGTTTGGAATTAGTGTCATTTAACTTGGTACACCTATGAAAGTATGCACTTACTTACTTATGGAGCTGAGCCATTCTTGAGGAGAAGCCAAATCTGCAGCTACTAAAGAATTTCCCAGCATTTTATGGAACCTGAAGGTTCATTACCATGTTCACAAGAGCCCCCCTCTGGTCCCTATCCCAAGCCTGATCAATCCGATCCATTCCATTCCATCCCATCCTATCTCTCTAATATCCATTTTAATATTGTCCATCCACCTGTGCCTTGGTCTTCTCAGTGGTCTCTTTCCTTCTGGCTTTCCTACCAATATCCTATATGCATTCCTTTGCTCCCCCATTTGTGCTACATGCCCTGCTTTGATCATTCTAATTATACTTGACAAAGAGTACAAGTTATGAAGTACGCTCATTAAGGTGGATTTAAATGAAGCCTATAATGAAGTGTGTATAGATAAACGTTTGTGTTATGCATTTTTTACTCCAAACGATATAATACAAGGATATGTTTTATCACCATCATCACTAGGAAAATCTAGGAAAAGCTGCAGTTCCATGAAAAAGGGGAAATTTCTTGGCTACATAAGGGAATACTTGCTCCTCAAGGACAGTTGTCCCTGGGCATATATAAGTTGATTGGTTAGTGTTGTAATGATTAATAGTAGGTTGTAGCAGAGCATGGGGAGTGGCCCTGGTATGTGCTGAATTAAAGTTAAATATAAGAGCCCGTACATAATTGAGGAGCTATTTCAAGGAAATAGTAGCTCTGGTCTAGAAACCCGAAATTAATGGCTGTGGGGATTTGTTGCACTGACCACGTCACACCCTCTATCTGCTAAATTTGGCACTAACTTCGCAAACAAGCGGTGGTTGCTTGGTCGGTATAGTTCGCTTGCGGACTGAAACCATGTAATTTGTTTTTTGTGTTTTGTATGAGACCCTCTACAGTAACTGTAGTGTGAACCGTGATTTCCATAAGTAATATGCCAATTTCACAGCACCATGACATAATTAGCTCTCCTGCCATCTCCTGAGCTAATATCAAATTGAATAATTATATAATTGGCCACATAAGACAGTATTAATGGTGTATGATAGTCTGGATTGTTTTGAAGTTTTATTTGTTTCATTCCCATCTCTGGCTTCTGTTGTGTGCATCTTTTCATATAAAATTAATGTATTTTAATTATATATCATGAGTTGTGCTTTATCTTTGAGGAGACTACTGTGCATATTTCTGTTCATGAATACAGAGATTTATAAACACACTGAGGTGGGCATGGGAGGAGTTTTGACCTTGCATAATTCTTTGAGCTTTACTAATACCTGGTAATTAGTACTAATGATGATGTTAATTTGATATCCACATAGGATGGTCAGTGTATATTGTATTGTGGAAGTTTGTCATTCCTGAAGTTATATACAAGGCAGTGATATATAATATATTAGTATTGTTGTTCTTTTAAAGTTGTCCTTGTTCTTATTTAGTTAAGCACTTTGTCATGAGGGCATGGGGAAGTTGAGGTATGGTTCCACCATTCTTGACTTCTGCACTGGATGGAAGTGAGTGGTGAGCTTCACACCCCTGCTGCTTTACCCCCAAGGGACAGATTCCCTGGTACCCATTGGATAGGAGGCTGGGTTGGCCCCAGAATCAGTCTAGTCTGAATGTTGTGGAGACATTTTATTTAATGATGCCGTCAGTTACTCAGATTATGTAACTTTGAACAGTATGATGACTGTGAATAATGAATTTTAAGGGATATGGAAGGGAGTGGTTATGCCGAATTTAAGGTACTAGCCTGGTAGTTCTGTGGAGAGGTCGAGCAAAGTCAAGGTTTGAACATCCTGAAATGATATGTGATAATAAATCTTAAAATAATATGCAATTTTTGTTCAGGAATTTGTTTGTAGAATATCAAATAAGAACATGGCAGCCATATGACAATTTTATTTAGCTGTTTGTTTGATGACAGTATCGAATGAACCAGTGGAGCTAGGCATGCAAAATTTGGTTTGTAGATACACAGATCCCTACATTCTATATATGAAATATGGCTTGTACGTCAGTGATTATGACAGTGCTGCACTTTGAGGCTGTATTTGAGAGTTAGTGTGTTCAGAAGCTATATTTAGGTAAGAAATTTTTTTGCAGTATTAACAATAACAGATCTGCGATTCTTAAAGTTTATGCTGTGTGAAAGTAAATAACAGTAACAGATCTGTAGTACTTGCAATTTTTGCAATATGAAAGTAGTCGTTATGAGTTCTCTTTTGGAACTTTCTCTATGCACTGAAATTGTAATGATGCTGTGAACAGTTATGTTAACATTGTACCGATAGACCACTGCACATGTTTTTTGCAGTATTACGAATTCTGGTTTTAGTTAAATATGCCAGCCATAATATGTTGTCATTTTCATGAATAATGCTTATTTAGAAGGGCATCCAGAAGCCTGTATTTTCTCAGTATTGAATGCTCTAATTGGACTGACCATGTTGAACCCCTAGGATACACAGTATTTTGTAACTACCCTTGTGCTTACATCTTTTCATTGCATATGCTTGGTCGTCGACTTATGACTGGCCGCACTTATGACCACAAAAAAAAAAAAAAAATAAAAACAAAAGATGATTAAAATGTAAAAGTTTTTAAAAATAAATTATAAAGATGATAAAAAGATTAGAAAGGTTAAAAAAATACTGTTAATAAATATATGGCCAACATACGACCAGATCGACTTACAACCTGTCAGTCAGAACGGAAGTTGGTTGTAAGTTGACGACCAAGTGTATATGTTTATCTTATTCCATGAGACCGCCTCTGTGGTCTGATGGTCAGAGTTCCTGGTTACAGATCCAGAGGTCTGGGTTCGATTCCCGGTGCTACCAGATTTTCTGAGAAATAGTGGGTCTGTAATGGGGTCCACTCAGCCTCGTGAGGATAATTGAGGAGCTATTTCAAGGAAATAGCAGCTCCAGTCTAGAAAACCGAGATTAACGACCATGGGGATTCATTGTGCTGACCACACGACACCCTAACTAACTTCGTCAAGTGGTGGTTGCTCAGTCGGTTGGTATAGTTTGCTTGTGAACTAAAACCGAGCAATTTTTTTTTTTAATTCCAGGATGACTGCCATGGCATTATGTTAGGCTGTACTTACATGGAATTGTATTTCATATAATGCCATATGAACTAAAATTTATTTCTTAAGGTATTTATTTTCACTGTGTCATCTGTCCAATGTACAGGGAATCCTGGGAGTTCCAGTACATATTCTGATCAACAACAGCGAACTTTTTCTCCCAGCTATTCTCAGCAGCAGCAGCAACAACAACCAACACCACATTACGCACCTCACTCCCCTTCAAGTCCCGTTACGTCTGCAGGTAGCTATCACTACAACAGCCGTCTCTCATCCCCTTCTGGCAGCCCAGTGTCAGCTCCTCAACATCATGGAATGAATTACAGCAATCCACAGCAGCAAGCCCTTTACAGCTCAGCCCTCTCACCCGGCCACTATGGCTCCCCTAACCACGGTAAGTTTCTCATTAAAATACTAGCAAACCCTTTTATTGTAGGCCCACGGTTGCAGAAACTGATTTGTTGCCATGGTGTTTTGTTTGTTTGTCGGCAACATTGGTGATAAAATGGATAACTGACATTAAACTTTTACTGAAACTGGAAAAAAGTAGCACATTTACAACATGATGAAAGTTTATGGAGAAAGAAAAAATAACATATGTTGTGCTTAAACCATCTTTGAGGGTGCATTGTCATCAGTGATGTAGGACATTACATAATTATAAAGTTGTTAGATTGTATTTTAGATATGTGGTGGGAACCAAAATTGCTGTGCTGTAGGAGATTTTGTTGAACACAGGACTCTTCTTCTGTAAGGTTGCCTACCCATATTATGTCATACTTTCAGAGATAATGTAGACAGACAGTAACCCAAGTTTTTACATGAGTACAGTCATTTCAAGACAGGATAGAAGATGTTACAGGTGGTGAAAAACCTGGATCCCCGTCAGCCTCAGGAACTAATGCACATATGAAAAAGTGACTAAAATGAATTTTGAATCAGTTGAAGACGTGTAGAACAATGTAACATCTGTACTCAGAGGTACAGATGAGTCTTCCAGGTTGTAATGCTGTGTACTTGGGAACTTCCATCTTCAGGATTGAAAAAAAAGCACCCAGAAACAGGCAGCAAGCTGAGTTTTTCCAGGCCATATGGCATTACATCCCAGAAAACTTGTAGTCACTGCTTTGAGAACGTCAGATCCAAAATACTGAAATGGCTTTCTCGAAGATTATTTCCAGCACTGTTTGCAGGCATTAAAATTGAAAGGGAAAGTACTTTGAAGGTAATAAACTTACTAAAGACTAGAGGCTTTTTCTCCCATTTGTTCTCCTTTAAATACAGAATAACCCCTGTTCTTTATTGTAGGACCATGTTGACCCAACTTCTGAGTGAGAATCAGTGCCCTACTGTGTCCTACAAGGCCATGAGAGTGCTTTCAGGCAGCAGCTTTGAAACAAAATGAAACAGTAGAATTTATGAAGAAATAAAATATATTCAGTTGTCTTTAAAACAATATCCAGCTCAATCTGATACTTATTTGTATTTTTTTTTTCCTTTTTAATTCAAAACATCATGATGATATCCTTCTAGCGCCACATTTATTAAGGAAGAGCTGAGGGCTGAATAAAATAAATTCTGGAGGCTTCAAGCAGCTGTTGTACAACAGGTTGACATACCCTAATGATGCAGCTGCAGCATAGACATCAATAGATCACTATGGTCAACGTGCAAGGGCTAAGAAGGCCCTCCCCTTATACATTCATTCATTGGGTGCAGAGTAATCATGCATTGAAAAATGACAGTAATGGCTGTAACCCCTAGCCTGCTCTTTTCATCAGGTATACTTTTGGGCTGATTTTCTGCATGTGTTTACTGTAGTGAAAACAGCTCGTCTTTCAGTAACCTTTTCAGCATTCTGGTTATCTCTTTACATTTCTTATGAAGTGAGACATTGTGTATATTGCTGAATGGGTGACCACCTGCTCAGTTCTTACAGAAGAATTGTATTACTCTCATTGCCGTTGTTTCCTTCTCTGGCCAACTTATGAAGAGAGTATGGCCACATTACATAGTACAGTCAGTTTCGTGGATTGGTCGCATAATGGCACTGTTACGCACTACAGCAGATATGTGGAGCCACAAAAATGGTGCTGTGTCTGTTCTCTCCTCCCAGCAAGAAGCAGTTGCATGCATGCGGTGTATTCAGAATGAAAGTTTCTGTTACAAAGAGTAGTAGTCTGCGAGGGTGGAAATCAAGAATGTTGCAGTTTGAGCAATGGGAAGGCGTCAAGTTCTGCCAAGAATTAGGCAAATCTGGTAGTGAAACGTTTCAGATGATCAAGCAGGCATATGGCAAAGAAGCCTTGGGCCATAATGCTGTGTTGTCACACAAACATTTTGCAAGGGGAGAGAGAGTTTGGAAGATGATGAGCATACCGGTCAGCCAAGAACAGTCATAACTGAACTCAAGATCCAAGAAGTTGCAACATTGGTGCCACAAAATTCTGTCTGATGACCTGAAAATATTACATGTTACCCAGCTCAGTGTTCCACACATCCTGACGCAAATGTGACAGTCGCATGAGCATTTGTGGTGACCTGATCAATAGTGCTATACCAGTGTTGGCAGACTTGCATAGTGGCCAGCAGCAACTATTTTGAAGGAGGATGTGGGTATGTGAGTATCTTGCAGTATGGTGTGACAAAACTACAGTCCACGAAATTGTTGATTGTAGTAGTGTATTTCTTATTAGAATATGTCTTTAAGCTTATGTAGAATGTTTGCAGTTTTAATATGAAATACACATACATTTTCCAGCTCCGGCCCATATGGTCAGCGTGCTTGTGAAATTTCAGAGCTATATGCAGTAAGGGCCCTGCATGACTAGATATTAATTAGATTATAATCCTGTGTCCAAGTATTCTTTAACAAAATTATGAACATTGTCCTTAAAAGTGTTCATGTACTTTGATCATTCGTGAAGCACTTAATTTATAAATATTGAGATGCTCTGAACATTGATCTGTATTAATAACTTAATTAGATATCATGTTCTGTATATGTAGGCCAGCATAGTGGTTACTCTCCCAGCAGCAGCAACAGCAGTGGTGGTGGTGGCGGCAGTGGCAACAGTCAGCAGTGGCAAATCCAGCAGTCAGCAGGAGATTTCTCTCAGCATCATTCAAGTCCCTCACCCCAACACTCTTCTGTACTAACGGGATCACCTTCTGCTTCATCAGCCACAACCCAATCTCCTTCTCCTGCACATACCCCTACACCTACAGGTACTCTGCATTCTCCTCCATCTTCCATTGCAATGTCGGGCCAGTATCCTGCCCACCACCACGGACGTCATCCACCAATGGGAACCCCACCGCAAACCAGTCAGGGACATAATTTGCCTTCTTGGGTTCATCATGGTGCTGGGCCAGGTTAGGGCAGACACAGTTTACCATATGCTGAAATGTTTTATTTATTTTACGATACCATACCTGCTAGATGAATGCAAATGTATTATGAGTGATTGATTCTTAGCTTATTTAATGATGTTTCTACTTGCATAGGTTAGGGAGTGTTAAATTAGACGCGGAAGTATTCAAGAATGATAAGCAGGGAGAGATATGGAATGAGGCGGATGGAGAATAACTTCAAACAACTGAAATGTAAATTGTGAGATCCTGCTCATAAGACATACGAGGCATAAAAAAAATCAGAAGACTGAATTCTAATGGCTTAATACTATGAATGCTATGTGGATTTGGTTTTTCAGATAATATATTTTTTACCATTTGTAACACAGTTCTTCGGTTTCGATGTAATTGTATTTAATCAGCGAAATTACATATTTGTAGGGATGAGTATGCATTCAGGAACTGCAATGAGTGGACCCCCTCCTCAGGGTCCAGGTTACTACCCTCCCCCACACCCGGGCCGTGGAATACAGGGACCTCCACAACATGCCCATATGGCAAGTTGTGTTCCTGTGTCTGGGGATCGGCGGTCACCATTGCTTTCCCCTACTCCAGGATCGTGGAACAACTTGGGGTCAGTGGCCTCTGCAGCTGCCAAAGCTTCAGGCACCCATGATGGAAGTGGAAGAGGTCCACCTCCACCATCTACCCATCCACAGAAAAATAATGGTGGTAGTACTGGTGGTGGCAGTGGTAATCCCTTGTTCAGCCTTCAGATGCTGGTGAACCAAGACATTAACCGCAATGCTGCAGCTTCATCTGCATCAGTGGCCCAAGCAAATTCATATAGGGCATCTACACCTTCAGCCACACACCAGCAGGAAACAGTTGACCTATCTTCGGCAGGAAGTGGTGTAGAAGTCTACTCAAGGATGCTGCCACAGCAGTCAGGGCCCATTCCTTTGACTTGCGCTGATAAACAGACTACTCAGGTTCCAGAACATGCGTCCTTGCGGAATGGAAGCATCATCACATGCACCTCTGCAGCGTCATCTGTTGTGAGCAACACTAATGTAACTTCTCCTCCAACGCCTCTGAATGGGGAAGTGAGTTCAGACAGTGGTATTGGTAGTAGTGCAACCCCTACACCCAGTTCCCAAGCTGAAATGCCCATTTCATCTACAGCAACTCCTAGCACAGACATTAATAAATCAAAAACTCTTGCACCAGTGGTTGAAAGCAAGGCATGCACGAAGGAGACAGTGAGTGTTATAGCACAGACCCCACCTCGAGAGAAGCCAAAGGTCTCCCCACCCATTCCTGCCACAAGTCCTCATCACAGCAATGAAGGCAAACCAGAAAGTCCTGCAGAAGAATGTGAATCAGGAGATGTTAAGGATGACAGTAGAGACACTGATAAGGCTTTAGCTACTCAGGAGCCAGAGAGATCAGTAAAACCTGCATCCGAGGAGCACTTCGAGAGATGTAATCCTGTGATCATGTCCAGCACAACTGATATGGTCCCAGCGCCTAGGGAACCTACATCAAATGTAGTGTCCTCAAGTAATGATAGCTCTTTGTCCAAGCCTACTGATGATGGATTGTCTGTACCATCTCCCTCACCAGGATCGAAAGATTCGACATCACCGGTCCGTTCACCAAAGAGCGGAAACATGAAACGAATGAAGAAAGTTGATTCAATCTTGGAGAATTTAGTGGAGAGTGGGACAAAGAAATTTGGAGGAGGAAATACTACTACTGTAGTTGCCGAGCAACCATCACAGACTCCAAGCACCACTACTGTTGTAGTAGCCCCTGCATCTGTGATTGTCTCCCCAGCAGCCACTAGTGAAGACAGCAGCAGTGGTCTTGGTCAGGATGTTCGTACACCTTCACCAGGATCTCAACAAAAGCAGCAGCCTACTAATCGACACAAGTCACCTGTTCCAATGCATGAAGAGGATGCTGTGTCACCTACCTCTGGAGGGGCTGATGACTCTGAGAATGGCAAGCCCAGGCGAAAGAGAAAGCTTGACAAACCTGTCCGTGTGTCCAAGGTCTCTGGTGAAGGTGAAGTTGAGAAGGAAGCTGGAGTTGATGGAGATGTAGGAAAAGATGAGAGCCAGAAGTTAGAAGAAGGACCTCCTACTGATGAGAGTAATGAAACTAAAGAATTGGCAGCTGTTGAATGTGCTACTTCCTCAAAAAGTGTAGAGCAAGAAACATGCACCAAGCCAATTGAAGCTGTGACAGTGGATGTAGTTAGCAGCCAGGATTTGGTAGAGAAACAGGAGCCTTCTCGAAGACGCCGATCTAGCGAGAGCTCTGCTGCATCTCCATCACCTGTATGGCCTGCAGCTGCCCAGAGGACTCGCAGGAAGTCCGCCAGTGATCAGCAGGAAGATAATGGATCCAGCAATGCAGGAGATCTCCTCTCTGTATTGGTCTCAAATCAGCATGATAAGAATGTGATTGGAGACTCAAAACCAGAAGTGAAAAATGCCTTTATTGAGGTAGAGACAGAATTGGAGAAAATGTTTGCAGGAATTGTTGAACCAGAAGAATGTGTAGATCCACTGAAGCTAGACACTGCATCTCCAGTACCGATGGACGTGTCCCCGTCAAGTAAGACTTTGGATAGTTTGACCAACAATGATTCTGCATCTGCAGAGCCAAAACCTGCTTCAAGTATGAAGTCACGAGGAAGACCAAAGGGCTCTAGGAACGGAACCAGGAGATCATCTGAGAGCATATTTGGAACAGCTTCAACAGATAGCACACCAGAGAAAAAGAAAAAGAAGCAAAGCAAGAGGTCAGCAGATGATCCTCTCAGTTCCACCTTATTGCAGAAGAAGACAAAGAAGACAAAATTATTTCAGGGAGAGAGTGGTAATGATAGTTCTGTATGTCGGAAAAGGGGCCTAATTAAAGGTGAATCTGCATGTCGTGATGGCCCCTTGCAGCCCATGTCTGTGTATGACAGTAGCAGTAACACCAGCAGTAGTCGTTCCAGGGGACCTTTGGTACATATTGAGGGCCCTAAAGATAACCCATATCATGTATCTGTCGTCAACGCACCATTTCGGGGTGAAGATGAGGATGGTGGTGAGAGGGGAGGAATCAAGAAGCAGCCTGCTACTGCCAGCAGACGGAAGATTCCAAGTTATCACAATGATTTGGATTATAGAGGTGGGTGAAATGTTTAATNATTATTTCAGGGAGAGAGTGGTAATGATAGTTCTGTATGTCGGAAAAGGGGCCTAATTAAAGGTGAATCTGCATGTCGTGATGGCCCCTTGCAGCCCATGTCTGTGTATGACAGTAGCAGTAACACCAGCAGTAGTCGTTCCAGGGGACCTTTGGTACATATTGAGGGCCCTAAAGATAACCCATATCATGTATCTGTCGTCAACGCACCATTTCGGGGTGAAGATGAGGATGGTGGTGAGAGGGGAGGAATCAAGAAGCAGCCTGCTACTGCCAGCAGACGGAAGATTCCAAGTTATCACAATGATTTGGATTATAGAGGTGGGTGAAATGTTTCATTCATGTTCTATATCCAAGTTTAATTGTGAAACAGATTTTACTGTTATGTACTCACAAAAGAAAGGACCATTATGAATTTGCTTAGGTGTAGTATATACTATGTTTTCTCATTTTTCTTTGTTGTTCTATACTATGTTGAAGAGGTTGTTCCATACTGTTTTCCTATTTCACATTTTGATGAGCTGCTGATGTCACACAGATGTATTGAAGTTTTATATTTAGGCCTAAGCTCTACCATTTTATTTTGTTGCTGTAATTATGGTTTTTAAAAATTTTGCACTTGACACCAACTGAAACATTATAGATGACTAATCTTAAACTTGTGCATGCATAATTGTATTCTGTGACATCATTGTCCCACCTAGGCCAGAGGAAACTTGTGTGACAAGGAGAGGAGGCTACTGAATGGAACAGTGGGCAAATATTGGGCGTGATACATTGTTTATTAATTTTCGAATGTGAGCTGTCAGACGGCAAAGATGGGTTAACTTAGTCATAACTAACTTTGGAAGTAAAACTGCAAGTATTTTTATTTTTTGGTGCTACAGCCCCAATTTGGACCTTGGCCTACCTCCAATGAAACTCTCCTTTTCACCTGGGTTTACTACATCTTAGACATTCGGTAGGACTCCTTGCGTGGGTGATCAGCTCGTCACAAGGCCTCTGCCCATACACAAACACAGAAAAGCGTATGCGCATGCATACACACAAACAAACAAACAAAAACACTGAGAACATCCATGCCCTGAGTAAGATTCAAACCCACGATCCCGTCTTCCGAATGAGTGAAGACAGTGCATGCCTGAGACCTCTTGGGTACCGTGACTGGCAAGCCGCAAATATAGCTGATGCATAATGTTATGGGAGAACGTGGTGGCTGCTTTGGAATTGTTCGTTGTGACAAGTGTGCCAGGAGAGAACCCAAGTTTTATGCAGTGGTTTTTTATGCATAAGCATTAAGTAATTGATGGTTACTTTGGGGGGGGGCTATAATGAAGTTCTGTGTATAAACCATACTCATTCTATTTCAGTTTCACTGTATTTATTTATTTTCAGGCAAGGTTACAGGCAGTGGGGGCAATGCTTCAGGTATGTTCAGCAGTACACTCTCTGCACGCTATGATGCGCACACCACAGACTTAACATGGATCTGTGTTTTCTGCAAGAAGGGTCCACATTGTAGTGTGGGAGGAGGGGGTACAAGTGGAGACTTGTTTGGCCCATACCTCTTGACTCCACCAGATAAGTTGGACATGAATGGTGAGGGATCAGCTGATGAACGAGACATCACAGAGGAACAGAAACGTAGTGGTGGGCGGAATAAACGTAGCCTGCGTGAAGCGCACATGGTGGAACAGTTCTGCCAGAAGATGTCAAGAAAGGTAAATAATGGATGATGTAACATCCCAGTATTTTATGGTATCAGAATGTTTATTACTGCATTTTCAAGAGCCTTCTACTGGTTCATATTTTGAGCTAGATGAATCCAGTATACACACTCCCATTTTATTGCTTTGTTATCCATTTTAATGTTATTCTACATTTTCTGGATGGTATCGTTTCTTCAGGTTTTCATACCAGTATGTGCTACCTGCTACATGCTACATCTGTCTTTCTCATATCAGTACATGGTTAGTGCACAGACATTAAATCTAGTATGGCATTTTCTAAATATACAAATGTAACATTAAATATCTTATTCCTGATAACCAAGTATTGAAGTTGAGGGGACCCTGCATACATTCAGGCTATATCTAGCGTAGAAATGTTACTCTAAAAAGGACCAATATTTACAGTGATAAATATTGTAAAATTAGTGTTTCTAACAGCTGTTAATATTGTAGAAGGACACTGGCTGGAAGATTACTTGAGATTCTGCTTATATTTTAGTTCTGTGATGTTATAGGTTCTTATTAATATGCTGCAGGTACAACGGTCTCACACCATAGAGAGTTCATCAGTAGCTGGAATGGTGCCTGTGTCCTCCAGTAGTGGTGATGGAAAGGAGGGTGATTGTTATGAAGTGTGGGTGCATGAGGACTGTGCAGTATGGGCTGCAGGTGTTCACGTTGTTGGCTCTCGAATTGTAGGCCTCCAAGAGGCTGTTTGGAATGCAGTCCATACGGTCAGTATCAGAGTAAAAGTACCATATCTACTCATTATCATGTACACGTTGATTCTTTAGAGTAAATTTCAACAAACAGAAGTAGCAAAGAAACTGAGGCAGAAATTATAGTAAATGTTTTTTGGAGAATCGGTTACATTTATTATCTGTGTAACAACAGTAATGAAATTAGTACAAATACAGTACTCTACAAATGTTTAAAATATTTTTTTTTTTTTTGAGTAAAAAGAAGGGTCCATTAAATGGCTTCAAAATGTTCAATATCAATAATTAAAAGTTTCTGACACTGTATTTTAGTCTTGAGAAAAATCATGGTTCAGAATTTACTGAATTTAAAAATAAAGAAACAGTACTGCCTCTTGCATTACTTTTAGATTTTCAAGCAGTCTTCAGTTATCTCAACCTCTCACTCATCTTGCATGTCCATAATAATACAGGTGTGTCAGAATGGATGGATGGATTTCACAGGGCAATAAAATTGGTAAGGCTTCATCAAATCCAAATTTTATTGTTACCATCAGATTCGCCAATACATGCAGTTTATTTGTGGAATACAGTATCATCCATATGACGTCCTTGGCTTCAGATACAGACGTTGCGGCATTTCCTGAAGTTACTCTTCACTCTTGCGGTCATATCTGGTGGAATCGCTGCGATTTCTTCTCGAATCGCTGTCTTCAGCTTGTCCAGTGTATGTGGTTGATGTTTATAAACTTTTGCCTTCAAATGTCCCCAAAGGAAGAAATTGTAGGGCTCAAGATCGGGCGAACACGCGGACCAAGGAATGTCACTGCGATGCGAGATGACGTTAGGTTGAACCTGTGGCACAAAATGAAGCCACCCACCTCAAAATTGTGTTCTGAGTAGGTATGCTATCGCAACGTCCGAGCCGAAATGAGTGCTGAAGGCTCGTTGAGTGCCGATCACAGACTCTCTATTTTTCAAAAACGTCTCTACAACAAATGCACGCTGTGCACCCGACCACTCCATGTTACCGACTGAAACTGCATTCTCCCGCTGGCCCAACAGTCGGCCCCCCCCTACTCTTGAAATCCAAGCATCCTCTCTGATGCACCCTGTACATCTACTATGTATGACTATGCTGTAAGATGAACTGCTCTTATATTAATGTAAATATGGTGTTTTATTTGCCGTGCTGACTTCTTATTTTCAGGTGTGTAACAAATGTGGTGAGGGGGGAGCAAATGTAAGCTGTGTCCGGCGGGGTTGTGAATGGCGCCTACACTATGGATGTGCAAGGGAACAGGGCTGGGAACTGGATGAAGAGGCATATATTACACGCTGTGTACAGCATAAGGTAAGTTATTGAAGGGTTGAAGTTGTATTGTTCTCTTCTGTATAACTGGAAAGGTGTTTCATCACACTTTAATAATAAATATCAAGTAATTATCCTGTGCTTACTGGAATCAAAGATGTACATGAATATATCATCTTTTTGGGAGAGGAGATTAAGAATATCCCAGGAAGTGAAGTATAGTGGCAGACATGCAATATAAAGTGTTTTCTTGGCAGAATTCAAACTGATATTGTGAATATTTACTGAAACTGGACAACATGTGTTTTTACATTTGTAGGATATGTACTGGAGAGAATGACAAAGCTTTGAACTTGAAGATTGATATTTTAATGAAAGGGAATTAACTTGCGTTGCTGTAGACACCGTGAATGGTAATGTGAAAGTTAGGAAAGTCTGTTTTTTTTTCTTATACAGTGAAACTTCTATCTTATGAATACCTCTTAGCAAATAAAGATGTTGTGCGGCTTATTGTATGATTTCTATACAACGTACTGCCTGGTGAGACACTGTGCTTTCTAGGTTGTGATTTTACTTCTTTCATTCATCACAATCCATGGATATGTTTCCTCTGAATTTCACTGTGTGGAGGTTTAACTGTATTACATTTGATATAATCTGACATTATTGTCTTCCACCTTGAAGAACAAAAGCTGTGAGCATATGTGCTTTTCTTTTTAACAGAAATTTTGTTACAGAATAAACTGTCAAGGTTTGTCATATGAACAACTCTTCCCAGTCAGTTTTTTTATACTTCTGTGTATATATAAAAATTGTCTTGCAGGTTAGAGTGAATGAATTTTCTGGCGATTTATGTTTTATTTTAAAATAAAAAAAAATAATTTATAGTTTGCTTGAAGTTTGAGTAATTTTTGAAGGTTTGGTATTCCTCATACAAAGTATGCTGCAGAGTACAGCTTGCCAGCTGGGACATCTTACTGTCACTGTGGTGTTCTTGTTTCTCTACTCTCAGTTTGTGGATACATGCCTGGCATACGCTAAATTGTATCCTTCCTCCAGGATTTGTTGCAGGAATATTCCTCAAAATGTCAGGCATTAAACTGATTGTTGATGTCTCACAGCCCTCTGGGCCTTCAAGGCCTTTTACAGTGATAGCTTTACCCTTTTTTAACCTTTATTAATTTGAATCAGCATGTTCCCATTTTAAGGTCTACCTCCTATTGGATATAATTAGCTGGGTATCTGCTAAATTCCAGCCAACTCATTCTGTTGTTTGGGTGATCCTTTCAGTACTCTTTTTGTAAGAATGTATTTAGGGTGACTGTAATAAGGAATGGAAAAATAACTTCAACACTACTTCATAGATTGGCAAGTGCATTGAATTGTGATAATCATCACGTTAGATGTATCAACAGCTTCCAGTTTTGTTAGGTAGTCTGTTCTGCATACAAGTATATAATGTTCCCACTCTTACCATACCACTCGCATGTTCAGTGGTCAAAACACCTACTTCTCCTTTGTCTTCAAATTGTACATACATAATTTTGTTTGTACTTTCCCTTTTTTATAAATGTGTCCCTTTATTATGCTGATTTTCTGGTTCACATTCTGTGTAATAATTGTCTGTGTACAAAATAATGCCTGTCCCGAAGGGATCCTGATGCTGAAAATCTCGTCCAAAATCCTTGTATGTTAGTTTGTCTCTCATACATTTAAAAATGTACCCTGACCTGCAGACCTGTCTCTTTTTTGCAGTCTTGTACTGCATGAATGAAAGCCTCCCCTTGAAAGCATTGAGACCGCCATGAGTATTTCATTTATCAAAAGACTGGAACTGATGGCTGATATAATATTTCCTGATGTCTTTTAATGGGTTTGATTTTGTGAATTTGGTCACCTGGCACTAGTGTGACATTACAGTTGGAACAGAGAAGTAGGCATTTGCTTTATACTTGTGAAGATCTGAGGTTCTCACCGGTGGTTATGATGAATTCCATCTTCAGCAGTGCAACACTGTGTAATCCATTGAAAGTCAACCGACATTTCAGAGGAACATGTTCTATCTTAAGGGTTGAAGAATAAGACAGGCAAGAAACCAGCATGAAACAGGCAGCAAGCAAAGCCTTCCTGTGTGCTTCTTCCTGGTTTCTTGCTTATCTTACTCTTCAACCCTGAAGATGGAGTTACACCTTCAGAGGTGTTCCTCCAAAACGCAAAACGTCAGTTGATTTTCAATGGACTGCACGTTGTTATATCCCAGAAAGTGAAACTTTGCTTTGTACCTGTTTCAAGGTGTTTGTTCAGAGGCTGTAGATGTGTGGATAAATGGATCCTAGTCATCGTTATAATTGCCTGAAAGAAATTAATATAAATATAAAAATAGTGTTGTATATCATGTCTGCGTATTCATAGATAGTGTGGAGAATGTGATACAATTCTTTAAACCGCTAATACGTTCAGAATTGTATCCTCGTTAATTTATGTTTTCTGTGTCTCAAGGCAGAAGAACAGGTGCTTCTGAGCTTCAGTGTATAGGAAGAAAACAGTTGTTTGTGATTGTATACATGCTGATGATTGTGTGTTTGTGGATGGTGCTGAATATTGAGAATTTCTCATCCTGCAGGTCTCAGAAGTACTGTATCTTTGTTGTCCAGCATGACAGGCCTGCTTTTTTTTTTATCCCCAAGATACACAGTATGTACTTAATGTTGTCAGGAGGTTAGTTAAGAATTCGGAATCAGTCAGAAGTCTCCACCTTCTTTCTCATTGCAATGTGTGGGTTGCATTTGATTCCGTTCTGTTTCTTTCTTAGTAGGTTATGGCCATATTTGTCATTCAGGTACACACGGATTGAATAGTAATTCTTGGCAGAATGTTTTTGGTGACTGTCGGTTTGAATTTGTAACATCTGTAAGCAGTTTTATTCTCCTTAATAGTACAGTTTTCACTTAGAGTAAGAAAGGAGATAAATGGTTTAATGCATTTTATTATTTATCATACAATGCCACCTACATTTCTTTTTAGTTAGATATAGCAATTTAGGCATATCATTAAATACATTTGCTTGGTTTGCGTTCATGGTAGCCTTTATGTCTGAGACATATTTGGTACATGCACTGACACACCCAAAGAGAGAGAATGTGTTGGTAGATGGGTGTGTGTGTGCATATAAGTATGTCCTCCCATCATCTAAAGCATTTCTCTTGCAGCAGGCGTATTTTCTAAAAAAAAGTTAACCACTGTAGGTTGCTGTTACTGAAAATCTTCAAGTTTTTCTCTGACTGTGTTTTGAAAAATCAATTTGTTTTTAATGATATCCATTACAGTCCCATTCTAAACAAAGATATATGAATCCCATCACCTGTTATTCATGAGTCATGGGTTATATTGGATATACTAAACATGTTAGCTGAAGGAGTACTATGTTTGACTTAAGATGTACTCCGCTTCAGTCTTGTCTAGGACAACACATATACTGGTTTTTGTTCTTAATGGTTTTTCTATATCTTTAAATAAGTCACCTTAGTCCACCAGTTCAGCATACATAATCACTTTATCATCTTGTTCAGCGTGAAATAACTGTGCAATTGTTTCATACTAAACGGCTTGCAGACCTTCAGTGTTAAACATCACAGACATCTTTACTGAGGGTTTGCCTGTTGCAGGGTTAAGAAGCAAATGTGACAGACTTGATCCCCCTCTGAAATGTTTTAGTTTGTGTTATGCAAATGGTGCCAAATAATTGGTGTTAATAAGCCCATTGCTATAAATAGTGCAGGTACTTCTTGTACAGTTGGTGCATTTGTCTGCATCTGTTAATACTTGTAGTAGACTTATAATTTCCCAAGGTTCGTGCTTAAGTAAGCTGCATCCAGAAAGCAGGAGAAAGGCCTTGAGAAGAGTTCAGTTAGAGTTTGTAATGTTATTCCCAACTTTAAATAGTTAAATGCATTCTAAGAAAATTAGGCTAAATAAATATGTTCAGAATTGTACAGAGGAAGGAAAATGTTCCTTAATGTCAGTAATTATATTCTCTTCACCCACAGAGCTTTCATTGCAGTTCTGCCTTTGCTAGAACAATGGCAGATAAGCCAGGCTTGCATTAAATTCAGGGTAATCCAAGTCTAAGAAGAAATAGTCAGTCACTGCGCTAAATTCAGATTTGATACTTCACTTATTAAGAAGCAAGGAAGGGAGACCGATATGTGTGGAGCAGTGTGATTGTGTACTACAGATGGTTGCTACCGTAACTGCATAGGGAGAAGTCACATCATTTGAGTTACGACTTTGTCTTTTCAGTGTCACAACTTGTTGGTGACAGTATACAGTACCACACTTTAAAGGGCAAGAATTTATAGCAACATTTTACTTGACATATTGGCATTTTAAACTTAATTATTTAATATTGAAAGTAATAAACATAGGAACATATCAGCACCTGCATTTTGCGATAGAATTTCAATAATTGATACTTGCAAGTGTGTCAAAATAGATTGCCCAAATCTTTACCAGTATTAATCTGTTTCAAATACTTACTCTGCCACTTCCCTATGCCTTATATGGTCCTTAATAATGTGTGGTGGATCCCTGAAATCCTGTGCTTTGTCAATAAATTGAGCTATCACGACATCTTTTTCTTACAAGGGAAATAAGGATAAATAAGACAAAGTATGATAAAAGTAACCATAATAAATTGAACATATTTGAGTTTGTTCAATTTAAATTTGATATTGCCAAAGAAGGTTTTTTTACAGGAGATGAAAGACTGAAATTGTAATTGAACAGCAAAGAAAACTGAAGTCGTAGTTCAAAGTACTAGAATTTAAAATGGATTAGAAAATTACTGGAAATATAACAGATGCAAAGAGATTAACAGCATTTAGCAGTAAAATGTGTTAATATTCACACAATACTGAAACTGGTGAAAGCATAAATATCTTCATATCTGTATAAACACAGAAAATGGAGAGTGCATGAAGTTTATCCTTCCTATGGACACAAAATACACCCACACGAATTTATTCTTCCATTTCTGTGATTCAGAGAATATAAATCCCTACAGCATGTGCTTAATTTATATTTATGTTCAGTGGATTACGAGCAGGGAAGTAGATATAACTGGGAACACCTGTCTGTAGAAACTGTGAGTAGTGTCAGGCATTTCTTCTTACACATGAAAAATGGGGGGAGGGGACATATCATTATAATTACTTCTAGTATCTCTAGTATCTCTGGCCACTAACAAAGGAATCCTGTTGTCACAACTTAACTAGAACCATAAGTTTGTGTGTGTATTCCTTTTCTGAATATTCACTGTTAAGTACTGTCGAATGAATGTCACCATGTACATACAAATTATAGTATATTTTTCATTACCAAGTTCTTTATGTGTAATATTTTTAAAATAAATATGTCTTTTATTCAAATAAATATGGTGATTAAGTCAACCCGGTGCCAATAAATTAGTAGGTATATATAGGTTTAATGTATAACAACTTACAGGTGATATCTGATCAGTAACATGAATTATTCTTCTGAATTGCATTTTACCCAAGTTTGGACATTGAATTTAGTGTTTTTAGTCATTGCAGTTTCACTGTTTGATGTTTTATAATAATTTTCCTTAAATTATTTTTACTGTAATATGAGTCACAGTATACATATTATTAAATCTTACAAATGAGGCTTATATGTGACAATTTATAGCATACAAAGAATTTTAAATAAGCACTGATGAATGTGAGATGCAGATGTAGAATGAACTCCTCTTGTGTAAAAGCTGTAATTAAAAATTGAGGTGTAAATAATCGAACATATCTGATAATATTTTCCTTGCCTTTTCCTTTTTTTGGTCAGTGTGAAAACTTTTGTGTACTTTGCCACTGTGTTAACTATTATGACTATACATAATGCCTGTCTTTCAGAAGGGGGTCTTTTCTTCAGAAGAAGCCATCCTACCAACATAATGTTCCATTCTGAGAAGAGTGGCATTATTTGTTCATTATCCGAAAAAAAATGTATATATACATATATATATATAGCAGTCAGTACCTGTGACAAGTGTAGAACACTGAGTAATGTAGGATCTGTGATGATTATTACTTCTTATTGTGTTCATCGTGTCACTACAGTCTTCATTTGTGAACTACTCTGTTAGAGTTTGGGCAAACCGAAGGCCATTTTATGAAAGAAGCAAGATTCATATGGTTTGAATTCCGGATTTTGAAAGACATGCTGTATTACATGTAACGAAAAAAAAAACTGAAGTACTGAAATGGTTTTATTTTTTAAATCATGTTTGATCTTAATGGATGATCAAATTACAATTTGAACTGCTCTTTCTCCTGTGCTTGTGACTTTATCAGTGAAGAATATAATGGGTGAGTCTTTTTCTTTTTTTTTGGGGGGGGGGGATATTCAATGACTAATATGTGTGAGTTTGTGAACTTGGGTAAGAACCCACAGCCCGAATGACAGAAGTCTCCAATGTGGTGCAGATGGCACATCTAGATGTTGCCAATGACTGAATGTGTACTGCTGCTCCCATTATCTGAATGTTTTTGCCTCACCATGCATCATACTTCCTTGTTCAGAAAGCTAGTTCAGTTGGTTTGTTCTCAACGTGTTTAAACATTCACGACTGTTAAACCTTTTTGCCAAGGAACTTGTATGTTCTGGTTGAGGTGAAGAAAGAAAGCTCCCTCTGTATTAAGTGGGTTTTGTTTCTTGTAATGCAAGATAGCTTTTATCTTGGTGTTTGACTTGCGCTGAATATCATTGTATATCATAACTGTTATATTCTGTGGGTATCCTTGTATTGAACAAGGAGTATTTTGCACCAGTTGGTACTTTTACAATATTGTAAGTGATAGAATAAAATAAACAAGAAGCTCATGAATTGAATATGTAAACAGTAAGTTCATGAATAGAAGCAGAAAGCTAGCAGCATTTCGGTGAAATAAGGCAGTGAAGCCTGAGTGTGATATTCACTGTCTCTGAGTATTGAAATTCATTAAATTTTCTCGGTTATTGTTTTTAGAATTTTAATGTTTGATTTTATAAAGGTTCAACCTACATGACTTTTTACTTACATCTTTAAATTTTGTTGGAAATGACAGAATCATATTAAATGACGTAACCTACAACCCCACTTGATTCTCCTCTACATATTTCATGTCTGAAATCAAATACTGTAGTTGGTACTCGTTAACATCACACCACACCACACTGCTCATTAGATTGGAAATGTATTGTAAATTCAGTGTTCACTGTAAAAGCAACCATTGTGTACAAACAAAAGAATGATATAAAAACAAGAAGGCTGTGTTTGTCGAGCCAAATGACATTTAGAGGTGTTAAATACAAAATCTATATTTCTGATTGGAAGAGAGGAGACATAGTTTAGGTATGGATTATTATTTCACATAGCTATAACAGGTTTCAAAAGACCCCTTGTAAATAATATAGATACCATAATTTTGGTAGGAAAAAAGTTTACTTTCTTGTATGTAGTAATTTCTAGTAAACGTTCATTGATGGTCACATCCTGTAACTTTTTGTTTTCTATCAGACTGTGTTTTTGTTTACAGAGTTAGGCTGAGGTTCAGAATATGAAATAAAATGTTTTACTTTAACTGGGTAAATTTAAAAATACTTCTTCGTGATATTTGGTTTGATGGGAAATCCCTGGAAATAGGTATCTGGGTTTTGGTAATCCCTAATTCCTCCAGAGTCCTGTTTGAGACTGTTTAATAATATCAGTATGAGGAGTACCAGTATCTTATATCAATGTATTCAACCTCCCTGTTTCACATCTTTTAACAGACAATTTATGAACAAATTGTATGAAGTAAATAAAAAGTTATTGGCCAAGAATGTGTCTTTGATTACCCATCCAAGTGTAATGGTATTTTTATTAGTACAGCCTACTTATATGGGGGGCCCTCAATGCACGTAACTTAATAGTTAACCGTCGAGCTATGGGACGTTAGGGGTTTGCTTCCAGACATTTGGTGTAGGATCGCGGTGGTTGAGCGTGTCCCGACCGTGATTTTTGAACCGAAAGGAAGATGCCGGCAGGAGTTGGTCGTATGAATTGTGCTGCCATCTGTATAATGTTTGCCCGTCGCCGGTAGTGTTACACTAGTTCCATCTATTATTAGCGTACAACATCGTCCTTACCATGATAACTGTAATGCGTGATTGAAGCGGTGTGGTTAGTTGTCAAACTGGAGTTTATGATGTTGGAAGTATGTGTGTTGTGAAAGTTATTTCGTGTTTATTTGTGTCAGTTCTGTTTTTTGGAATGACGAATCGTTGCAGATGATGGTTGGAAGACATGGGCAGGACTAGAAGGAGAATTTTGTTGATCCTGTGGATGTTATTTTTGTGTATCATGGGTGCTGCGTCAACAGTTCACGAAATTCATGGTGAGTTCACTGCCCTTTTATTCGTTTTCAACACGGAGACCCTCTGTATTATAGCGCCAACTTTTAAACGATGAAGCTGTCAGCATGTACCGAATATATTCTTATGAGTGTCAAAGTAATTGGATAATGAAGGTCAGTACATTTTAGACTATACCGTACAGTTAATAGGAGTACGCCATAGGAAAATTGAAGTTAGACGTTCAGTGTTTGATTCTTTGATGATGAAAGCAGCATAATCGTTCACTTAACGATAAGGCACAAAGTCCCTGTTCTGAATGTCATGTAGATGTATGGGGTAGTGGAAGTAGAACTCCACTGTTCTTAATTTTGGGGCTAGATGGGAGTGGTCAGAATTGCCTCCAGGAGAGCCTGATACTCATGTCGTAGGAAGCTGGTCTGGAGGCTATAGAGAAAATTTCCCTTGTTATGGCTAGGAATCGAACCTCGATTCCTCAGCCGTCTAGCCCGTAACCAGCTGCTAAGCCTGCTAATGTGTTCCTTCCCATAATATAAATTTATGAGTGTTTTTCATGTATTTATATAGGTGTTGAAGGATGAGGTGGCAGGTCATGTAGCACGAATGGGGGAGACGAGGAATGCATATATGATATTGGTGGGAAGGCCAGAAGGAAAGAGACCACAGGGAAGACCAAGGCGTAGGTGGGTGGACAATATTAGAATGGATCGTAGAGAGAGAGGATGGGATGGTATGGATTGGATAGATCTGGCTAAGGATAGGGACCAGTTGAGGGCTCTTATGAACACGGTGATGAACCTTCGGGTTCCATAAAATGCTGGGAAATTCTTGAGTAGCTGCAGAATTGGCGGCTCCTCCAGAAGGGCTGAGCTCCATGAGTAAGTAAGTAAGTAAGTAAGTAAGTTGACTAATAATTTGAGTGATCCAAAATTTCTTTGTAATTAAAGTAGACATATTGGAAGGCAGTTATACAGAAATTCACTTGGCACAGATGTGAACAGCAGGAAATGTTGGATGTGATGCTCCTTGGAACATGACACGGAGGTGGAGGATGTTTTAGAATAAAACATTATATGTAGTGTTGAGCACAACAAGAGAGAAATTCAGACTGTGTACAGAATAATATATAGATAAATTTAAGCAGGAAGTATTAAATGGATAATTTTATGTCCATAAAATATTTGGACCGAAGAGAGATGAAGTGACAGGAGGTTGGAGAAAATTGCATAATGAGGAGCTTCATAACTTGTACTCTTCTCCAAGTATAATTAGAATGATCAAGTCAAGGAGGATGAGGTGGGCAGGGCATGTAGCACGAATGGGGGAGAATAAGATATTGGTGGGAAAGCCAGAATGAAAGAGACCACTGGGAAGACCAAGGCGTAGGTGGGTGGACAGTATTAAAATGGATCATGGATAGAATGGGATGGTATGGATTGGATTGATCTGGCTCAGGAGAGGGCTCTTGTGAACACAGTAATAAACCTTCATGTTCCATAAAATACTGGGACAGTTCTTGAGTAGCTGCACAATTGGAGGCTTCTCAAGAAGGACTCATATCCTTGAGTGAGTGAGTGAGTTTATGCCCATAATCTATAACAGTAATTCTCAGGTGGTGGGCCTTGATAGCGTACTGGATGGGGCGTGAGATATAAAAAATTAGGCATTCAGTTTATAATTAATGTAGTATTGAAGTGTACATAATTGTAAGAATATAGATATTGAAAAAGGAGAGGCTTTGCTTTTACTGTAGTGGGATTACAATTTTTGACAAAATGACCAGTGGGGTGCAAAATGTGGAGAGCCGAGAATTACTGATACAATGCAAAAATAAATGAAATGCACCTGCAAGGTAAATTACAGTATAAGTGATGCTAATTGTATTCCTAACTTTGTGAATCACTAATTATATGACTGTTGTTATTTGTTCATGGTGCTCCCATTTGCTTTTATAAAGGTGAGGTAGGTAAAAGAACATGCCAATAGATTTTATGAGAAGTATTGTTTATATATCATCAAATAAAAACATGGTGATGGTATGAAACATTGGGGTTGTATATGATAAATGTAATGTAGACAAAATCTGTAGGGCCTACTTGATAAATTTTGTCTAAAAAAGGAAGTAATTAATTAATTCATTCATTCATTTTATTTAGCATTCATAATTGCTACAACAGTAACACTTGAACAAGTCACATCATTAAATATATCATTCTTGAAATCCTTTTGCCAAAATATCAACAACAACACCACCCATAACTCATTTGCAGTAGCAGGAAATAAAGAATCTCTGACTAGACTAGGATCCGTGCATATGACCATCTGTGCATGAGTCGAACATGCTTACCTAAACGAAGGGCTGCATTGTATGTTCCTGTTGCATTAAAATGATAAATTAACAAGGATTTATAGGACTAGATATTTCTACAATACATAGGTTATATTTTATGAGTTCTATCTGGATAGAAATCGCAAATGGCATACAATTTTAATCGCGTCATATCATAGTTATGCGCATGGTTTTCATAGAGTTCGTATGCTGTCTATATTACTACAAGACGTAAATTACCGTCTAAGTACCATTAGGTATGCTTAGATGGTAATTTTCGTCTTGTTCTAATTAAGTTCAAGGCCCCTTAACTATAGTAATGCAGCAAATTGTAGCATATTGTCACGTGTTGGGCATGTCACGCGACAAATAACTTCACGTGGGTCTCGGATTTAGAGATTCTTTATTGTGCTTCACTCTTACAATTATCACTAGCAATGTCACTAGACTTCTGGCCTAATACTTCAATACTCGATATTCTAATACTCAATCTTCAATACATGTCGTAAGCTCGGCTTAATTAGGTGTTCTGCGGACTGGATACCAGACACCATTCCTCACTGTTTCGTTTCTACTGTCCGCTGTTACGTAACGGGCCGTCTGTTGTCCATCTCCGGGGAAACGCGTTCGTTGTTTAGGCATTGTCTACGCAACGGCTTATTGTTCTTTGCGTTACCATGGAAGTGCCTGTTCCAAACACGTTACAATATATTCTTAATTGAAAGGAAAACGGGAGACAAGTTTCGTAATCGTAAGGTAAAGGTAAAATTGTCCGTATACTGTTTAAGCACTACGCAATGAAGACGTATGGGGGAGTGGATGTATAGAGCCTTGACACTAGCTCGAGGTGAGTGGTCAGCTTCATGCCCCGGGGTGAGTGCCCGGTGTCCATTGCATAAGTGGTTGGGTGGGCCACAGAACCCGTCTGGACGACGTGGAGAGCAGAAAGATCTTGCCTTTCCCAGGGCTCAAAACTCCGGCCCCTTAGCCGTCCAGCCTGTAGCCAGTGGCTATACCTGGCTCATCATCTTGTGTGTGCGTGCTCATGTATGAGTGAGTGGGAGAGAGACTCCCTCCACTAAGTGGCTAATTTTCACAAAATTCTGTATGAATATTATGCCCCTCGAATCTCCAGTTTTTTACTTTCAACAATCGGTAATAACCATGGCCCGGATTTTGATGACCTGAAAATATTTAAAAAATGACGTATAAAATGACCGAAAAAATCCGGAAAAAGACCTAAAATATGACCCAAAAATGTAATATGTAGGGACCGGATTTTGATGACCTGAAAATATTAAAAAAGTGACCGAAAAAATCCAGAAAAATGACCTAAAGGAGAAAAGAAAGAACACTTCGCTTCCATGTTATTCACATTTCAGAAAACATGAAGAAAAATGGCCAAAAATGACAAGAAATACCCTTAAAAGTCCAAAAATTTACCAAAAAGTTATCCCCAAAATGAAAAAAATGACCTTAAACCTAAAAATGTCAAAAAATGACAAAAAATTACCTATAAAATTTACATTTCTGTAACCAGCAGCTCATATCCGAGATTTATATATTTAAGAGCATCGCATAGGATACAAGGAAAAAAAAGATGACATGTCATCAAAATCCGGGCCCTGGTAATAATAGTATGGCCAACGAATGAACCTGTAATGTGGAAGAACCATTAGTGCCACTTGATATAGGATCCAGATTTTTTAAAAATACGCAGCGTTTGTTGAGGAAATTTATTTCTAGATTATGAGATGACATATTGGCTGCTGCGGAAACTCCTATAATTAAAAGGCAAAGTTGTCCCTGTGCTTAATTCATTAAGCACTACACCACGAAGGCTGGTGGGGAGTGGATGTATAGATCCAAATTTTCTTGACCTCGGAACTAGTTGGAGGTGAGTGGTGAGCTTCACACCCCGGCCACTTTACCCCAGAGGAAATATCCCCCGGTACCCATTCTACAGGAGGTTGGGTGGACCCTGGAGCCACTCTGGACGACATGGAGAAGTGAAAATTCTTGCCTCACTGGGACTCGAACTCCGACTCCTCCGTCCTCCAGGCCGTAGCCAGTCGCTATACTGATTGAGCCATAATTAGATTTCGCTTTGATGCAGTAATTAATGAACCACAGAGCTAGAAATTTGGAATTTAGTACGAAGATAAAGCAAAACCATAGCTGTCAGCTCTGTATAAAATATTATAAATCTACAATAAAAATATGGCGACAGTGCGAATTTTTTAGGTTATGTCTGACAGTTCTAATTGGAACAATACGTTCTGGGAAGGATACTACTACTACTACTACTACTACTACTACTACTACTAGTGCTGCTGCTACTGTACTAAATAATTTTAACTTTGTCGTATTTACAGCAACAAGCAATAAACAACTGTGAGCTGACTGGGTTTCAGGAATGATGTACGACCACCTGCAAACAAGTTCAGTGTACTGTCGCATGAAGTATATTAAAATTTATTGTTGGATTGTAAATAATCTGTATTAAGGAAATGTGGCGCGTATGAGTTTGCCTGGAACTCCATATTATTTTCCATACTTTTTTTCACAGCTTAGATGAACTGTTCACCCTTTGCGAGCAAAAGTTTAAGTGCCCATTGAGTGTTACAGTTGTAGCTTTGAAAAACAGGCTGGTAAAAATAGACATTTCTTTCCTTCGAATTTTCTCATGGTTTT